CGTATTTAGCTTCACGCCCCGACATGCTGGCCCCTATCGCTTTTATGTTTGTATGAAAAGCCCTTTTCTCCGATCGGACTGCTGTTTAGATCGACTTTCTTGGACTACCAGTGAGTTTGTACTGTGGTGAAATTAATTTTTTGAAGGAAAATTCTCACTTAATATTTTGATTAAAGAAATATATTTACTTTTCAGCAGTACACCGTTAGTATAGTGTTTTAGATCTTATTAGGGTTAGTACATATAGGAATTTAAAGGCAGATATTTCAATGGGGGTTTAGGGGGAAAAGCGACTACCTTTCCTAGATGTCGAGGGCATTCACTCCAACGGGACACTCAAGAGGAGACTATTCAGAAATAAATCACATGTGGTAATAATCCTCGATTTCCAGCCTTATCACAACTATTGACTTAGGACAGGAAAACTGAGGAGTTTGATCATCAAAGGCCTAAGACTAAAGGACATGGAACGAGGAGTTCAACTGGCTCTTATTTTCCTCGCTAACGGGTACCACAGAAAAATCATATAAAGGAATATAGGGGTCATAAAGAGCATATATAAACTTGGACGTTATGAATATAAGATCACCTTAAGCAAAATAGAGTGAATACATTTGATAGACTTGGATCAGAACTCCCAGCACAATAGGGTGGGGATTGGTGAACCGGCGTGGAATGTGAAAGGATCTCACTAAATCCGCTCAAAGTGATACGTCTGAACTAGGTTTAAGAAAGCAAGTAAGAAATTGTGATAGTGAGGGGGTGATACGAAGGTACAGAAAATGTAAATACACTAAGAGAAGATGAGGGATATCACAGCTATTCAGCAGACATTTGGTCAAAGGATCGACTTCACTTGTCTATGCCGCGTTGTAGTGTAGTGCTAAGACTGGCAGGGTTCAATGGCGACTTAGCCTACCATGCCGGCTAGACGTCTGGGAACGTATCAAGTTTATGTCTCAACGCTGGGAATAATAATACCTACTATAGCGGAGGACTTCGGATAAGGTGCCTGACGACACGACCAAGTTGCGAAAACGGGATCACACCACTTTTATTATTTCTCTTAGTTCACGTGAGGACGATAAGCCAAAGAATTTGTGAGATCTTTTCATCAAAGATTCTCAAACTTCGTTTACCAAGTTATGCAAACCTGAGTCAGTGCTAGGAGCTGTGCCTGGCCTAATGATATAATTGGTCTGGGCAGATAGGATCCCAGCACAGCCTTGATTAGGATGCCCTAATAATTTTTTAAATATTCAAACTTGTTATTTTCTCTTTTCTCATCCTTACTCGACATTACTCCCCTCGTTTGTTCGTTCTGCTAGTAGTTTACCTACATTTTTTATCGAATAAGGCATGCCAACAGGCACAAATTAATCCTGAAATGTGGCTCATTATATATCTGCTTCTTTTTATATGGAATTTCCAGGCTACCAACACGCGGAGGTGATTGATGAGGCAATCTGCCATGCCTACGATCCCATGAAGTTGCGACCGGTGCTTTGGAGGTGTCTGACTAGTCAGGGCGAGAACGTCTGTGCCATATGTAAGTTTTGTCTCAGTCCTCCCAACTACACTAAGCATGCACATAAATGTTGCAAATTGGAAGAACTCGGGGGCGGTCAGATTGATTAAAAGCCAAGCCCTCACGAGCAGAGTAATGAGAATGAGTAATTTGTTCAATTTCGATCCTTGAAAGATTCACAATTCTATAGGATGTCTAAATGCATTGTGCTATTTTATACATTCTTTTATGTCATATAATAGCACTATTTCCATGCGTATAAGATACTTTTAAAGATTCACAGCTAGATGATTACCCATACAATCTGGACTGGTCATGACCGGAGCTAAACTCGAGGTCATTGTCGCGCCTGACTCGACCTCTTTTTTACTTCAGCTCTGAGACCACCATTCAATCTTATAATTATTTTGTATAAGGAGCCTCAGCCGTTAGATTCATCATAATGATGGAACTTAGTCAACCTAGATCGCTTAAGATGATTTGAGGACTGAAAGTTTGGGCAAGTTCGAAACTGCAGTCGAGCCTAGGTTTGAGAAGCTTCTTGAGGCAAGGTCAAGTGAAATTCAA